ACATGTATGTACACATGTACAATGTATGTATGTATGCATGCATGCATGTATGCATGTATGTATGTATCTATGTATATATGTATGTGTGTATGTATGTATGTGTGCATGCATGCATGTATGTATGTATGTATGTATGGATGGATGGATGGATTGATGTATTGATGTATGTATGTGTGGACGTATGTGTGTGCATGTATGTTTGTATGTAGGTATGCATACATGTGTGCATGTATGTATGCATGCATGCATGCATGCATGCATGTATGTATGTATGTATGTATGTATGTATTGTATTGTGTTGTATTGTGTTGTATGTATGTATGTATGTATGTATGTATGTATGTATGTATGTATGTATGTATGTATGTGTATATGCATGTATGTATATCGGTATGTGTGCATGTATGTTGGTTTGTTCGTTTGTTTGTATGCATGTATGTGTATATGTATGTATGTATGTATGTATGTATGTATGTATGTATGTATGTATGTATGTATGCGTGTTTGTGTGTATGTATGTATGTATGTGTGTGTGTGTGTGTCTGTGCATGTATGTATGTATGTATGCATGCATATGTATCTGCATGTGCTATTGGGTATGGTGTATACATGGAAGTGGACACGCTCGTGCACATATATATATATATATATACAAGATTGCAGTGGCGCTTCGCGCCATGCACCTTGGTCAATGAAGTTTGGCATGCAAGCGGAATCGCAGGAAGGCCAAATCGACATTTTAGCGATAACGCCTGGTTGCCTTTTCTGACATCGCCGCTATAATAATTTTATTCCTTATCCTTCCTCCATGCTTCTTTTTCCGTATTGTCGCCATGCCCTGCGCATTCTCCCCATCCTCCTCAGATCATTTTTGACAACCCTCCTACGTTGGGTTCTCGTTTTGAATAGAACACTGCTCGCACGAACCTTCCTTCCCGTCCCTCTCTTCCCCCCTGCCTTTGACCTCGCCATCCCTGGGGGGCTGCGGTCTGCGAAACTGTCGCCACTTTCGAGGGCTGCTGGGGAGGCCAACAGAGAGGGCACTCACCGCGGATCCAAACGGGACCTTGCCGTCCCTGGGGGGCCGCGATCTGCGAAATTGTCGCCATTTTCGAAGGCCGTTGGGGGGGCCAGCAGGGAGGGCATTCACCGCGGATCCAAACGTGACCTCCCCGTCCCTGGGGGGTTGCGACCTGTGAAACTGTCGCCACTTTCGAGGGCTGCTGGGGAGGCCAGCAGAGAGGGCACTCACCGCTGATCCAAACGGGACCTCGCCGTCCCTGGGGGGGCTGCGACCTGCGACACGGTCGCCACTCTCGAGGGCTGCTGGGGAGGCCAGCTGAGAGGGTACTCACCGCGGATCCAAACGGTACCTCGCCGTCCCTGGGGGGCCGCGATCTGCGAAACGGTCGCCACCTCACCGCGGATCCAAACGGGACCTCGCCGTCCCTGGGGGGCCGCGATCTGCGAAACTGACGCCACTTTCGAGGGCTGCTGGGGAGGCCAGCAGAGGGGGTACACACCGCGGATCCAAACGGGACCTCGCCGTCCCGAAAAAAACTGTCGCCACGTTCGAAGGCTGCTGGGGAGGCAGCGGAGAGGGCACTCACCCGCGGATCCAAACGGCCTCCGCCGTCCCTGGGGGGGGCTCTGCGACATGCGAAAACAGTCCCCGCCACTTTCAGGGGATGTGGGGGGCCAGCGCAGGGTACCCACGCGGGATCCAAAAAACGGGACCTCGCAGTCCCTGGGGGGCTGCGATCAGCGTAACTGTCGCCACTTTGGAGGGCTGCTGGGGAGGCCAGCGGAGAGGGTACCCACCGCGGACCCAAACGGGACCTCGCCGTCCCTGGGGGGCTGCGATCTGCGAGATTGTCGCCATTTTCGAGGGCTGCTGGGGAGGCCAGCAGGGAGGGTACCCACCGCGGACCCAAACGAGACCTCGCCGTCCCTGGGGGGCTGCGATCTGCGAAAGTGTCGCCACTTTCGGAAGCTGCTGGTGGGTCCTGCGGAGTGAGGCGCCGCGCGGACCTGAGCGGGACCTCGCCGTCCCTGGGGGGGTGCGATCTGCGAAACTGTCGCCACTTTCGAGGGCTGCTGGTGGGTCCTGCGGGGTGAGGCACCGCGCGGGCCTGAGCGGGACCACGCCGTCCCTGGGGGGCTGCGATCTGCGAAATTGTCGCCACTTTCGAGGGCTGCGGGTGGGTCCTGCGGAGCGAGGCACCGCGCGGACCTGAGCGGGGACCTCGCCCTTCCCTGGGGGCCTGCAATTCACGTGAAACTCGCGCCACTTTCCGAGGGCTTGGGCGCTGGTCCTGCAGAGTGCTGCACACCGCGGACCTGAGCGGGACCTCGCCGCCCCTGGGGGGCTGCGATCTGCGAAACTGTCGCCAGTTTCGAGGGCTGCTAGTGGGTCCTGCAGAGCGAAGCACGGCGCGGACCTGAGCGGGACCTCGCCGTCCCTGGGGGGCCACGATCTGCGAAACCGCCGCCACTTTCGAAGGCTGCTGGTGGGTCCTGCAGAGTGAAGCACCGCGCGGACATGAGCGGGGCCTTGCCATCCCTGGGGGGCTGCGGTCTGCGAAACTGTCGCCACTTTCGAGGGCTGCTGAGGGGCACAGCACAGTGGGTACCCACCGCAGACTTTAACTAGACCTTGCCATCCCTGGGGGGCTGCGATCTGTGAAACGGTCGCCACTTTCGAGGGCTGCTGAGGGGCACAACACAGTGGGTACTCACCGCATACTCAAATCAGACCTTGCCATCCATGGCGGGCTGCGATCTGTGAAAGTGTCGCCACTTTCGAGGGTTGCTGAAGGGGCACAGCACAGTGGGTACCCACCGCAGTGTCAAACTAGACCTCGCCATCCCTGGGGGGCTGCGATCTGTGAAACTGTCGCCACTTTCGAGGGCTGCTGAGGGGCACAGCACAGTGGGTACTCACCGCAGACTCACATTAGACCTCGCCATCCTTGGGGGGTTGCGATTTGTGAAACTGTCGCCACTTTCGAGGGCTGCTGAGAGCACAGCACAGCGGGTACTCACCGCAGACTCACATTAGACCTCGCCATCCTGGGGGGCTGCGATCTGTGAAAATTTCGCCACTTTCGAAGGCTGCTGAGGGACACAGCACAGTGGGTACTCACCGCAGACTCAAACTAGACCTCGCCATCCCTGAGGGGCTGCGATTTGTGAAACTGTCGCCACTTTCGAGGGCTGCTGAGGGGCACAGCACAGTGGGCTTCCCGCACGTTTTTCTCCTGCTCTGCGCTCCCGACTCCCCATGTCCTCTTCGAGCCTGTAGTTATCGCCCCTCGTTCTTGTATGGTTCTCCTGCGCATCATGCCATAGGCGCGTGTCCCAAGTAGCTTACATATCAAACAACGGATCCTGCAACTTGATTGTCCATGCAAGTTTCGGCCAACTCCTCGTTTCCCGTGATACAAATGGGTTGGGTACGTCACAGGGTAATTGCGGAGGCTCCTCCTTGGAGAGCCTAGGGCCCTCACAAAAATTGTTGCAGGCTTTCTTAAGGCCTTCTGGAGACCTCCTGGGTGTATTCTGGGGGCCTCCGGGGGCTTCCTCGGGCCACCCTGCCTCCAACCGCGGTCTCCCTGAACAACCGAATCACGATTTGGAATTCTCCGGAGGGTGTCTTTGGGCCATCTTGGGCCGCCATGGGGCTCTCTGAGGGCCATCTTGGACCCGTGTTGTGCCGTTTTGGGGCTCTCTTGGACTGCCTGGAAGCCCTTTCGGATGGTTGTGGGGCGATTTGGGAGCCTCCCAGGCGGCTTCGGACGCCCAGAAGACCGCCGTCTTGGAGCGTCGGGAAGCCGAAAAGAGGATAACCCCAAAATTCACCAAAAACCAAAAAGAAAATCAATGATTTTTGCCTCGGGGGCCTTCTTGGGAGTGCTCTTGGAGGTCTCTTTGGGGCCGTCCTGGAGGCCTCTTGGGCCATCTTGAGGTCACGTCGGTCACTCTTGGAGCGCTCTTGTGCTGTCTTGGGGGTCTCTGGGACGTCTCCGATGACCCCCCTGATCGCCCTAGGTGTGCTGGGAAGGCTTGGCAAAACGCCATGTGAGGCCCGGTGGCCGCTTCGAGGCCCGTCTGGAGGGTCCCAAAACCCCAGATCCTGGGAGTTCGGGTTTGGGGGGGGGGGGCTGACGGGTTTTCCCCCCGCCCTGGCCTGTAATAATATAGGAAGAGGCATATCCTGGGCCGCACCCGGCTCCCAAACCTGCCTCGGCCCAGATCCAGCTCGGCAGACTCCTGCAGGATCTGGCGCTTTGGCAGAGCCCCGCCTGCGTCGGGCGCGCTACTCCATGAGGGGGGGGGGGGGCGACGGAGCCGCGGGGGAGAGAAACCTGCACTGGATTGGGCCTGTAACTGTGCCTCGGTCGCGTCGCCTTTTGGGCCCCATTAGGGTAGGTCGGGCAGGTCCTCCTGCAGGAGGATTTTTGACCAAAAGATAAAGCACAGTCCAAAAATATCAAAAACAAAAAAAGAGCTCCAACAAAGGCAAAAATATCGTCCCCACATCATTCGTGGACTGTCTTCGAGTATTCCCCCTGGAAGGGGACAGGCCCGACTTGACATTAGAGTACGAGAAATACGCCCTTCTTCACCACCCCTATCGGGCCAGGCGAAAATGGGCGATAGCAAAGGGGAGGTTTGCTTATCTCGGGAGCGGCCAAGAGGGGGGTGTCTAAGGGGGGGGGTACAAATCATGACTGGCGACATGTGCGTGACCCAGGGGGGAGGCTGGGGACGACATGAAATAAGAAGAGCCGCCGTGAAATCTGGAGAAATATCATGGCCCCCGCCGTGATGTCCACCTCCTCCTCCTCCTCCTCCTCCTCCTCCTCCTCCTCCTCCTCCTCCTCCTCCTCCTCTTCCTCCTCCTCCTCCCCCTAGTCATCCCCCCCTCTCTTTGCCGCCCCCGACCATCGCGCGACGCCCGACTTGCGCTGAGCCCGGCCTGGGCCGGACGGAGCGGCGAGGAAGAGCGCGGCGGGGAGCAGGGCCAGAGCCACGAAGTGGCCCACGATTGCGGCTGGCGTGCGCGGGGGCGCGCGGCGCTCGCCATCCCCCCCCCCTCCCCCCCAAGACTAGGGTCTCCAGTTCCGTCCTCGGCTCTCCTCCTCCTCCTCCTCCTCCTCCTCCTCCTCCTCCTCCCCCTCCTCCCCCTCCTCCCCCTCCTCCTCCCTCCCTCCCTCCTTCCCGTACCCCTCCGATCAGATTCATGATGCCCCGGCTTCTTTCCCCTCCCTCTTCCTCGACACCACCGCCAACATCTCCCTCTCCCTTTCACTCGCTTTCTCCTCCTGCTCCTTGGCGCCTTCGGCCTGACTCAGCTTCTTCTTGCGCGCCGCGGCCTGGCGGGGAAGCCCCTCGGAGAAAAGGGAGGGGGGGGGTCGCCGCAGGAGGCGCGGCTGTTCTGCTCTGTGCCCGCCCGTCCTGCTTATGATGCATGATGCTCATACTGCTTTCACAGATGTCCTCCTGATCCTTCTACTCCGCAACTGCTCGCTATGAAAGACATCAACTCTCTCTCGTTCGCTCTCTCTCTTTCTCTCTCTTTCTCTCGCTCTCTCTCTCTCGCTCTCTCTCTCTCTCTCTCTCCTAGACCATGTTCAGTGATGTTGCTGCTTATCTCGCGTACATGTGTTCCTGGGCACGCTGGGTGTCAAGCGTGTGCATGTGCGATGTTTTGGCTGTTCGTCAGGAACGTTATATCAGTCCTTCAAGGATACTGCTCCCGCCGGAGAGTCCGCAATACTTCAGGATCGGCGGTTGTCTCATGTCGTTCGGAATGGCGCTCCCACCCCAGAGAAAACCAAACGTGTGGATCCGAAGTCTTCCTCGTCGTTGCCGTCCCCCTCCTTTCCGCTCCTCCGACTTCCCCTGGTCCTCCTGCTCATGATCCTCCCGCTACTCCTGCTCCACCTGCTGCTGATGTTCCCTCCTCCTCCTCCTCCTCCTCCTCCTCCTCCTCCTCCTCCTCCCCCCCCTCCTCCTCAACATCCTGTTATTATTCCTGCTCCTCCACCGCCTCATCATCATCTTCCTCGTCATCATCATCATCATCATCATCATCATCATCATCATCATCATCATCATCATCATCATCATCATCATCATCATCATTTACAGCATCAGCATCATCATCATCATCATCATCATCATTATCCTCATCCTCATCTTCACCCTCATCCTCATCATCATCACCACCATCATCATCATCCTCAGCATCATCATCATCATCATCATCATCATCATCATCATCATCATTATCATCAGCATTGCAATGGGCATTTTCACCAACATCATCATAGTACAAGTTCAACGCTCATCATAACAATCATCATTCGCATCATCATTCTCCGCAACATCATCATCATCATCACCATCATCAGCATCATCATCATCATCATCATCATCAGCAGCAGCAGCATCATCATCATCATCATCATCATCATCATCACCATCACCATCACCATCACCATCACCATCACCATCACCATCACCATCACCATCACCATCACCATCACCATCACCATCACCATCACCATCATCATCATCATTATCATTATCATTATCATCATCATCATCATCAGCATCAGCATCATCATCATCATCATCATCATCATCATCATCATCATCGCCATCAACATCATCATCAACAACAGCATCATCAAACTCATCAGCATCATCATCATCATCAGCATCATCTTCAGCGCTTTCACATCACACGATGGGGACTCCTTGTGGATTGAGATCCTCCAGGACATCCCCGTGGGTGGACAGAAAAGATAAATGAGCACAAGGGGAAGGGATGGGTGGGGGGAGTAGGATGCCAAACGTGGCGCGAGCGCACCCAGCTTGCCGTCTTCCCCATTTCCGTTCCCGCCCGCCTCCTCCCTTTGTCCTCTTCCTGGAAAGGGCTTCAGGCCCAGGGTTCTCCTTTAGAGGTTTCCCCTCGGTTTTGACGGGAAGAGGGCCGGCGGATATCTTTTGCGATAAATAACGAGTGGGAAGATGGCCGGCGAACTTTCAGGATGTCCACAGCGAAACGCTTGTTTTTCAGAATTTCTTGAGGATGTCTCGAGCGAAACGCTTGTTTTGTGTTAAAGATTGTCCTCTCCTGGGGACCTGAATTCAGAGGATCTCTCAAGTGAAATGCTCGTTTTCACGTGCCCAGGTCTTGAGGATGTCTCGAGCGAGACGCTTGGTTTCACGCCTCCAGGTTGCCCAGGCAGATGTCTAGCATGAGGATTGTTGAGGATTTCTCGAACGCTTGTCTTCACGTGTCCAGGTCGCCCAGGCGGATGTCTAGCATGAGGATGTGTCGAGGAAGTCTCGATCGAGACGCTTGTTTGCACGTGTCCAGGTTGCCCAGGCGGATGTCTAGCGTGAGGATGTGCTGAGAACGTCTTGAGCGAAACGCGTGTTTTCACGTGTCCAGGTCGCCCAGGCACAGCACAGCCCTCGGCACGGTACATCAATATCGATACCTTGAGCATTGCAGCTTGGCATGTTGCCTGGCACGTTCCGCGGAGCGTCCCGTGGCGAGTCCCCCTGGCACGTCGCGCGGTGCACGTCCATTGGCACGTTCCGTAGCGCGTCCCCTTGGCACGTCCCGCGGTGCGTGCCCATGGCACGTCTCCTGGGACGTCGCCTGGCGCGTCCCTTGGGACGTTCCGCGGCGCGTCCTCCTGGCATATCCCCTCTGTCGATTAGTTCTGGGACAGCTACCATCTGCTCAGGCATCTCGAGCTTAAGATCCAGATCAGTTCGGTCAGGACTCGGATGCAAAGAGGACTCGATCCACAACGCTATATAGAGCACAATCGCGGCATGGCACATCGCAGTTCAGCACGGCCAGCACAGCGCAGGCGTCGGCACGGTACATCAAGATCGATACATTCAACATTGCATCCTGGCACGTTCTTTGGCGCGTTCCTTGGCGAGTCCACCTGGCACGTCGCGCGGCGCGTTCCCTGGCACGTCCCGCGGCACGTCCATTGGCATGTTACGTAGTGCGTCCCCTTGGCACGTCCCGCGGTGCGGCAACATGGCACGTCCCCTGGCACGCCGCCTGGCGCGTCCCTTGGGACGTTCCGCGGCGCGTCCTCCTGGCATGTCCCCTCTGTCGATTAGTTCTGGGACAGCTACCATCTGCTCAGGCATCTCGAGCTTAAGATCCAGATCAGTTCGGTCAGGACTCGGATGCCAGGGAGGACTCGATCCACAACGCTATATAGAGCACAATCGCGGCATGGCACATCGCAGTTCAGCACGGCCAGCACAACACAGCCCTCGGCACAGTACATCAAGATCTGTACATTCAGCACTGCATTTGCCCGTCGCCCAATCAAATGTCTTTGAAACGTTGCCACGCCTTACATTTCTAGATTCCTTTCCGGGTTCGTGGGTCGATCATGTTTCCTCCTGAAGCCATACCCCTCCCCTCTACCCTTTTTCTGCCCCTTCCCTCCTTCTCCTCCTTTTCCTCCTTTTCCTCCGCCTCCTCCTCCTCCTCCTCCTCCTCCTCCTCCTCATAATTCCCCTCACCCCTCCTCCTCTTCCTCCTGTTCCTTCTCATCCTCCCCTCCTTTTTCCCGGAAAGGGCGTGGGCCCAGGGTTCTCTTTTAGGAGGTAAACATGTCCCCGGTGCCTCAACTGAGGGGCGCCGGCAGATTTGTTCCCTGATAAATATCGAAGTCGAAGGGCGCCGGCGGATTACATTTTGAGGATGTCTCGAGCGAAACGCTTGTTTTTTTCAGAATGTGTTGAAGATGTCTCGAGCGAAACGCTGGTTTTGCAGAGCCGACCGCGACGCGGAAAAGCGCCCCGCGCGCAGGAATTCTGAGGATGTCTCGCGCGTGCCACGTCCCGCGCGCAGGAATTTCGAGGATGTCTCGACTAATTCGTTTGTTCCCAACCATCCTGTGGTGTTGAGTCCTCGTTTTGAATAGACAGCGCCCCGCGTCTCTTCCTTCCTTCCTTCCTCCTCCCCCTCCTCCCTCCTCCCCCTCTTTGCCTCTGCACTCGGCACACCTCTCACACGTTTCGTAGCCCCATAGGGAGCTCCACCGAAGGCCCCAGTGGCCGCTCTCGCATGCGTTTCCCGCACCCTGGGCAGCATTTCGTGGCCCCATAGGGAGCTCCACCGAAGGCACCAGTGGTTGCTCTCGCATGCGTTTCCCCCGCCCTGGGTAGCGTTTCGTGGCCCCATAGGGAGCTCCACCGAAGGCCCCAGTGGTTGCTTTCGCATGCATTTCCCCCACCCTGGGCAGCGTTTCGTACCCCCATTGGGAGCTTCATCGAAGGCCCCAGTGGTCGCTTTCGCATGCATTTCCCCCACCCTGGGCAGCGCTTCGTGGCCCCATAGGGAGCTCCACCGAAGGCCCGAGTGGTTGCTCTCGCATTCGTTTCCCCCGCCCTGGGAAGCGTTTCGTGGCCCCATAGGGAGCTCCACCGAATGCCCCAGTGGTTGCTCTCGCATGCGTGTCCCCTGCCCTGGGCAGCCTTTCGTGGCCCCATAGGGAGCTCCACCGAAGGCCCCAGTGGTTGTTCTCGCATGCGTTTCCCCCACCCTGGGCAGCCTTTCGTAGCCCCATAGGGAGCTCCACCGAAGGCCCCAGTGGTTGTTCTCGCATGCGGTTCCTCACCCCAAGGCAGCGCTTCGTAGCCCCATAGGGAGCTCCCTAGTGGTTGTTCTCGCATGCGGTTCCTCCACCCAGGGCAGCGTTTCGTGGCCTCATAGGGAGCTCCACCGAAGGCCCCAGTGGTTGCTCTCGCCTGCATTTCCCCCACCCTGGGCAGCGCTTCGTGGCCCCATATGGAGCTCCACCGAAGGCCCCAGTGGTTGCTCTCGCATGCATTTCCCCCACCCTGGGCAGCGTTTCGTGGCCCCATAGGGAGCTCCATCGAAGGCCCGAGTGGTTGCTCTCGCATGCGTTTCCCCCGCCCTGGGCAGCGCTTCGTGGTCCCATAGAAGCTCCACCGAAGGCCCCAGTGGTTGCTCTCGCATGCGTGTCCCCCACCCTGGGCAGCGTTTCGTGGCCCCATAGGGAGCTCCACCGAATGCCCCAGTGGTTGCTCTCGCATGCGTTTCCCCCACCCTGGGCAGCCTTTCGTGGCCCGATAGGGAGCTCCACCGAAGGCCCCAGTGGTTGTTCTCGCATGCGGTTCCTCCACCCAGGGCAGCGTTTCGTGGCCTCATAGGGAGCCCCACCGAAGGCCCCAGTGGCTGCTCTCGCATGCGGTTCCCCCACCCAGGGCAGCGTTTCGTGGCCCCATAGGAAGCCCCACCGAAAGCGGCATCCACCACGCGTTACGAACAATTGCTTATGGTTGGGTCCTTCGCCATGATAATTGTTGTTCTAGGGTTTCCTTGAATACCCAGAGGGGGTATCTAACATGTTGGTTCCGAGCTGGAACCACGTGTTTCACCTGTCGAGGCCACCCAAAGAGGTGTCTAAAATGGTTCTCCCGCGCTGGAACCACGTGTTTGCACGTGCCCAGGTCGCCCAGAAGGTGTAACATGGTGGCACCGCGCTGGAACCGCGTGTTTTCACGTGTCCACGCCACCCACAAGGGTATCTAACATGGCGGCCCTGAGCTGGAAACGCGTGTTTTCACGTGCCCACGCCACCCAAGGGAGTATCTAATATGGTGGTCCCGAGCTGGAACCCTGTGTTTTCACGTGTCCAGGCCACCCACGGGGTATCTAACATGGTGGCCCCAAACTGGAACCACGCGTTTTCACGTGTGCAGGCCACCCAGGCGGGTATCTAACATGGTGGTCCCAGGTGGGTACCTAACATGTTGGTCCCGCGTTGGAACCGCATGCTTGCACGTGTCCACGCCACCCGGTGAGTATCCAACATGGCGGTCCCAAGCTGGAGCCACGTCCCACACAGGAGGGTATCTAACATGGTTGTCCCGAGCTTGTACGACGCGTACGCCCCCTGGCATGTCGCCTCGCACGTTCCCTGGCACGTTCCATGGCGCGTCCCGTGGCACGTCCATCGGCACGTTCCGTAGCGCGTCTCTTTTGGCACGTCCCGCGGTGCGTCCACACGGCACGTCCCCTGGCACGTCGACTGGCGTGTCCGCTGGGACGTTCCGCGGCGCGTCCTCTTGGCATGATTCCCGATCAGTTAGCTCTGGGGGAGCTACTATGTGTTCAGGCGGCTCGAGCTTAAGGTCCATGTCAGTTCGGTCAGGACTCGGATGAAAAGGAGGACTCGATCCACAACACTATACAGCACAATCGCGGCATGGCACATCGCAATTCAGCACGGCGCAGCACAACACACCCCTCGGCACGGCACATCAAGATCGATACACTTTGCATTGCAACCTGGCACGTTCCCTGGCACGTTCAGTGGCGCGTCCCGTGAGGAGTCCCCCTGGCACGTCGCGCGGCGCGTCCCCTGGCACGTCCCGTGGCACGTCCATTGGCACGTTCCGTAACGCGTCCCCTTGGCACGTCCCGCGGTGCGTCCCCATGATACGTCCCCAGGCACGTCGCCTGGCGCGTCACTTGCGACGTTCCGCGGCGCGTCCTCCTAGCATGTCGCCTTGTCAACCAGCTGTGGGGCAGCTACCATCTGCTCAGGCATCTCGAGCTTCAGATCCATATCTGTCCGGTCAGGACTCGGATGCAAAGGGGACTCGATCCACAACGCTATAACGCACAATCGCGGCATGGCACATCGCAATTCAGCACGGCGCAGCACAACACACCCCTCGGCACGGCACATCAAGATCGATACACTCAGCATTGCAACCTGGCACGTTCCTTGGCACGTTCCGTGGCGCGTCCCGTGAGGAGTCCCCTTGGCACGTCCCGCGGTGCGTCCCCACGGCACGTCCCCTGGCACGTCGCCTGGCGCGTCCCTTGGGACGTTCCGCGGCGCGTCTTCCTAGCATGTCCCCTTGTCAATTAGCTGTGGGCCAGCTACTATGTGCTCAGTCAGCTCGGGCTTACGATACATATCAGTTCGGTCAGGGCTCGGATGCAGAGGGGGACTCGATCCACAACACTACAGAGCACAATCGCGGCATGGCACATCGCAATTCAGCACGGCGCAGCGCAGCATGGCCCTCGGCACGGTACATCAAGATCGATACACTCCGCATTGCAACCTGGCACGTTCCTTGGCGCGTTCCGTGGCGCGTCCCGTGGCGAACCCCCCTGGCACGTCGCGCGGCGACTCCCCTGGCACGTCCCGTGGCACGTTCATTGGCACGGGTTTTCCAAATCCACGTATCTGGCCTGACTTGGCACATGGATGCTGCAGAAATTCCCGCCCGTGGCACGTCCCGCGGTGCGTCCCCATGGCACGTCCCTGGCACGTCCCTTGGAACGTTCCGCGGCGCGTCCTGTGAGGCAGCTACTATGTGCTCATGCAGCTCGAGCTTAAGATCCATACCAGTTCGGTCAGGACTCGGATGCAAAGGAGGACCTGATCCACAACACTATAGAGCACAATCGCGACATGGCACATTGCAATTCAGCACGGCGCAGCACAGCACAGCCATCGGCTCGGTACATCAAGATCGATACTTTCAGCATTGCCATTGCCCGTCGTCCAATCAGGTGTCTTCGAAGCGCTGCCATGCCTTAGATTTGTCCGGGTTCGTGGGTCGATCATGTTCCTTGGTCTTGGTTCCTTCAACAGTACCACGCAAAAAAAGGGAACCCCAGCGACTACCGCGTCCGGCACCCACCAGTTCTTCACAGTCAAACAGAAACCCCTTTGGAAAAGCCAGATACTATGCAAAGCAATGCCAACCAACGACAAGGAAAACACAAAAAGCAATGCACACCAATGCCTTCCTTGCTTAGTTATTCACTTCGGAATCTCCCTCCTCAATTGGGTCGCGAAATGGTGCATCGCCGACTTCCCAGTGAGGCGCTGAATTCCCCCCAGCATTTCTTGCTCGTTTGGTAGCATTGCCCTTGGACCGAGGAAACATCAAGCATACAACAACTATCCAGAATCGATGGATGCAATGGTACCTTGCGTCAATGGTAATTCTTGACGCGACTGTGTTCCGGGACGCGCTCACCCAGGTCAGCGCTAACCCTCGCGCAGGGCTGCGTGCGGGCCCCAACAGGAGTATATACCGCACACAGCAGAAACCATGAGTTCCACGAATGGCGCCCTGAATCCCTACAAGTCCCCGCACTCTCCAACCGATCGCGAAGCTTCTCAAGGCGACCCCCGACAGGACAAGATCCGTCAACACGCACATCAGGGGAGAAGCGCAGGAACAGGGGCAGGAAGAAAGGATACGCCAGGAAAGCGAGGGACAGGAAGGGAGAGCAAGCCGACAATGGGGGGCAGCGTTAGGGGGGGACACGCTGAGGGCAGGGAGGGAACTGTCGAGCATCTCCCATGCATCGGCGATGCATCGCCAACTGATCGGCAAGATGCCCCCGAGAGCGAATCCGCACGGCCCTGGGGGGGGTGGGCTATCGGGCCCCTACCGATCGGCGATGAATTGGAAACTGGGGGTCAAAAGGACACCGAGAAATCCGCGGCGGAGCGCCAAAAGTTTACGTGGATTGCGTGTTGTTCTTCTTCGAGGGGCCAGAGGAGGAGAAGAGGGGGAGGAGTATGAGGAGGAGGTGGAGGAGGAAGAGGAGGAGGAGGACATGGGCACCGAGGTCTCCGTGTCGCCCTGCCTTCGTCGACTTTGGGCCCTCTGGAGCCTTGCTCGCCTCCACCCGCTCGCTGCCCAGGTGCCTCACGGGGTCCACCATCCGCGGGTCCCTGCCGAGGAGCACTAGAAGAAAAAACGCTATATGCATAAACTTGTGGCACTCCGCGCGGATTTCTTGGACCTGCGCTGGACCCCCGAGCGCGCCAGGGGCGGCGCCGGATGCGCCGCTTGGGGGGGCCCAGCGCGGATCCGAGAAATCCGCGCGGAGCGCAAACAGTTCATGTTTCTGGCGATGTCTCTTTGAAGCGCAGCGCCCCCCCGCCCCGCTCCCTGCCGGGCGAACGCCGGCACAGACTGGGGATCCGCGGATCGGGGGCGCGGGCGCCAGATCCGCGGATCGGGGGAGGTGCCTCCCGAAGGACGAGACCAAGGCCGCCTGGTGTGGCGACGGGGCGCTCCGACTCCTGACGGACACGGGGACCGTGGCTCGGTGCACGTGAAGTAGATGAAGGGGCCCCAGGACACACACATAAATACACACAAATAAAAAGATTCTCCATATTTTACCATATTTTCTGGGTTTTTGTCTTCCCCCCCACTACCCATATTTTCCCATATTTTCCTGGGAATCGACGATTAATTGTGTCTGTGTGTTTCTTTCCCTCCTGAGTAGAGGCCGCCTCGTGTGGCGACGGAGCGCGCCGATTCCTCATGGGCACGGGGCCAAAGGTCTCACCCACGCGCCGTCGTCCACGTCTGCGCTTGCTCGACTCTGGTCCTCGTCCCGTCCCTGCTGCGTCCCCTCCGCCCCCTCCTCCTGCTGTGCCCTGCTGCCGGGTGGTCGTCCTTCTGCTCGTCCTGGCCCTCACTCGGCCGCCGTTCCTCCGCCTCCTCCCGCCCGCCCCTGCTGCTGCTGCTGCTGCAGCTCAACAGTCCTCTCCTCCTGGTTACGTCCTCCTCTTCCTCCTCATCCTCCTGCTCCTCCTCCCCCTCCTTCATAATCATATTATCACCACCATCACAACCACCACCACCACCACCACCACCAGCATCAGCATCAGCATCAGCATCAGCATCATCATCATCATCATCATCATCATCATCATCATCATCATCAGCAGCATCATCATCATCATCATCATCATCATCATCATCATCATCATCATCATCATCATCATCATCATCATCACTATCACCATCATCATCACCATCATCATCATCAGCAGCATCAGCATCAGCGTCATCATCATCATCATCAGCAGCATCAGCGTCAGCATCAGCGTCAGCAACATCATCATCATCATCATCATCATCATCATCATCATCAGCAGCATCATCATCATTATCATCATCACCACCATCATCATCGTCATCACCAGCATCATCATCAGCACCAGCATCAGCATCAACATCAACATCATCAGCATTATTCGCATCACCACCATCACCATCACCAGCATCATCAGTATCATCAACATCATCATCATCATCATCATCATCATCATCATCGTCATCATCATCATCAGCATCAGCATCAGCATCATCATCAGCATCATCATCAGCAGCATCATCATATTAGTCTTCATCACCATCAACATCATCATCAGCAGCATCATCAGCATCATGATCATCATAAGCAGGAGCATAAGCAGCATCATCATCCTCATTCGTTTCAACTTCATCTCCTCTTCCTGGTCGGCCTCATCATCTCTGCCGTCTTCCTCCTCCACCTCCGCTTCCTCCTGATCCTCCTCCTGCTCCTCCCCGTGTTGGATTACCCGTCCCCCAACCCCTCATGCGCTTTGTCCTTTCTCCTTATCTCCACTATCCATTCCCCTCCTCATCCTC